CTGGAGCCCAAACATGGGCCTATCCCAATTGGTTTATGGACCAACACTCTGGTCATACCCTTAATTTGATTTTCAGCTCGGAATAGTTCTTTCAGAAACCTGGACCTAGGAAACCTGCAAAATACTTGAAGAGATGTTTTTGACTAGAACATGCTTAATGAATGTTATGCTACATGGACACAGGACCTCATTCAATGGATTCTGGGCTCCATTTCCATGCACTTTGGAAATAGATTCCCACAGGAGTCCCATGGAGGCCATCACATGCTATTGGAAAGTTTTGTCTGCTGAATTTAGATTGTGCTTTAATGGACATTGTTTCAAAAGTATGTGTAAATATCAAAACTACAAATTCATGAAGCCAGTTATCTATATTGTCTTGCCAAATATTGAAAAAAATCTTAGCATGCCCTTTCTGATCAGATGTGAAAATGTGGCGATTGTGAAAATTTTCTTCTCTAATGAACAACCATCAGAGCCTAGATGAGATCACAGAAATTATTGGCACACCAAAATGTGTTCTGTGTATGTGTGTGCCTTCAAGTTGCCTGTTAACTTATGGTGACCCCATAAATTTCATTATGTTTTCTTAGGCAAGGAATACTCAAGAGGTGGCTTTGAAATACAGCCTACAGCACCTGCTATCCATTAGCAGTCTACCCTTCAAGTATTGGCCAGGGCTGACCCTGCTTAGCTTCCAAGCGCAGACAGGATCCAGGGTTTTTGGGATATTTAGGCTTCCACAATACGTTGCCACTTAGTAATAGTTGCTTATATGAACCTACACAGAAACATTGTGACGGCGTGTCTGTCCCCACTTGTATATGAATGTACAGTTAAATTGTTTGGCTATCTATAGCTTTCTATCAATGTTGTTTTGCACCGGTTGAATTGCTTCCCCAGCCCAATTGTTTGGCTCTGCCCCTTCCTGGGGAAGAGGGCAGTGCTTTCTTTTCATTCCACCACCAAACAACTCAGCAGATGGATGTGAGAAAGGCTTGGCTCTAAAGCCCTCAGTCAAGTCATCTCTTATCACCAATTCTTAAGTTTGTACTCTTGAGATTTATTCTTCATGCCCAGTTCACCCTGGACGACGTTGCGGAATCTTAAGCGCCTTCAAACCAGTCCTTTGGCATCGAGAGGAAGACTTTGGCCTTCAATATAGGTCATTGGGTTGGGGTTGTGAATGTTCCGACTTTCACAGCCACTGAGAAAGAGGGAACTTGGAAAGCTTCTCCGCTGTAAAACTCCTTGAACCCAAGACTCCAGGGACTGTAATGTATGTTTTCTTTACCCCTTTTGAAATATCAAGTTTATGCCTAAGGAAGATAACTCATTGTGAACAATAAAGACTATTTCAAGTTATCTATAGTGTCTTGATCCTTGAGAGTTCCAGTTCTCTAAAGGAGGGCAAGAAGCAATCCCCTGAGGAAAAGATGCCACATCCATGTTTCTTTCACTAAGATCTATAGCCCCCAGGCGCGATGGCACCTGCTATCCATTAGCCAGGGCTGACCCTGCTTAGCTTCCAAGCTCAGACAGGATCCAGGGTCTTTGGGATATTTAGGCCTCCACAATACGTTGCCACTTAGTAATAGTTGCTTATATGAACCTACACAGAAACATACTACAGTTTAGTTTGACTATTTAGTATAAAAATTATAATATGCCTCCTATATTATTATTATTATTATTATTATTATTATTATTAAATGATAATATATCTGCTATTGGATATAATTTGATTTTAGAGTATTTTTGAACACAGTGAAAAAATCATACACCAGTAGTAAAAGCTGGTGAAATCCCAATTTCATGAAGATGTGCCAACTGTCTCATTTGGCCTGGCCACCTTGAATTTGGGCCATTTGCCTGCTCATAAAAATCTATATTAGTCTGAGAATGCTACCAGCATTTGGGTCCAGGGATATCTGACAAACAAAGTCCCTTCATTTCAATAAGCCTGGTTAGGAGTGGCAAAAGCAGTTATTTCAATTATTATTTCCCCAATATTGACATTAACCATTTGCCTTTATTCCCCTCATCCTAAGTACAGTGATTTACACATATCCTTTTGTTGTCAATGCTTGCATTTTATGTTCTTCCAACTAATAGAGAAACCCTAAGTAAGCTAAACTTATCACAGGGTTCTTGGTATCTTTTGTTCAGAGGGGTTTCCGCTTTGCCTTCCTCTGAGGCTGAGAGAATGTTTCCAAGGTCTCCAGAGTAATAATCCAATATTCAAACTGCTACCCCATGCTGGCTGCTAGACATACCCTTACACTCATTTAATGAAGATTTGTGTGTTTGTCACTTTTATTCAAATGCTACTGGGAAGATTTGGCTGATGCCAATCAAGAACCAGGCATAATTTTACAGAGATGGGAAAGAATATGTTAAATACAAGTTGTACATAGTATGTTTAATGTTTAATAAATATATATGATACACATTGGGGCCGTGGTGGCACAGTGGGTTAAACCGCTAGGCTGCCGACCTTGCTGATTGCTTCGAATCCATGGACAAGGTGAGCTTTGTTATAAGCCCCAGCTTCTGCCAACTTAGCAGTATGAAAACATGCAGATGTGAGTAGATCAATAGGTATCGCTTCTGTGGGAAGGTAACAGCGCTTAGAAATGGAGGTGAACACCACTCCCAGAGTCAGACACGACTAGACTTAATGTCAAGGGGAGATGTTTGCCTTTACCTTATTATTACACATTATAGGAGCTAGTTTGGTGAAGGCTCCTTCTTTGGAGGCTTTTAAGCAGAGGCTGGATGGCCATCTGTCAGTGGTACTTTGAATGCGATTTTTCTGCTTTTTGGCAGAGGGTTGAACTGGATGGCCCATAAGGGCTCTTCCAACTCTATGAGCTAGTGGTTTAAATGTTGGACTGTGACTTGGGAGGCCAGACTGTCATACTGCCTCAGCATCAGAGGAAAGCAATGGCAAACCTCTTAGCAAATCTTGCCAAGGAAAACCTATGATAGATTCACATTAAAGATGCCATAAGCATCTATATATATTCTTTGATAATTTTGAGCATGAAACAAAGCCTGTGTACTTTGGGACCATAAAAAAAAAACCATTATCCTTGGGATTTTTTTAAAAAAAATGCTTTTTAATAAAGTACAACAGTGTGCTTATAAAGTGTACACGAAACATACATGGATTTTGTGTTTAGATTTGAGTCCTATCTGTAAGATATGATGTATAGAAGGCGTGGGCAAAATTGGACCCTTCAAGTGTTTTGGACTTCAGCTTGGGTCCCATCTCCAAGATATGATGTATAGCAGGCACGGGCCAACTTGGGCCCTCCAGGTGTTTTGGACTTTAACTCCTACAATTCCTAACAGCCTACCTGTACCTGTACTACCAATATTCTGAAATATTCTGAAAGCCATTCCTGTGGACAATTATGAATGGGATGCTCAACACGTGTGTGTGTGTGTGTGTGTATAGTAGACTCCGTTAACCAGCATTCGTGGGGATTGGCAGAGCAGCCAAATAAATGTAGTCTCTTGAGCTGATGTAGCAAATAGGAAGAAAATGTTTTAAGTGACCGGCAATGAACTGAACTGGACTATGCTTCTGAACCAGCGGACTGTTTTGAATCGAATGTATATAACTGTTAAATTACTGTTTTGATTGTAACTGTATATTTTAATGTATTTGGCTTCTAATCGTTGCCTGTTATAAGCCGCCCTGAGTCCCCCTCCGGGGTGAGAAGGACGGGGCATAAATACTCTAAATAAATAAATAAATAGTCCCTGGATGCTTGAGAGTCACTATTAAAAACAGCCCTAACTATTCTCCCCTATGTACCATCAAGGCCTAACTATTCTCCCCTATGAACCATCAAGGCTGTTAAGATCTTCTGGAGAGGTCCTGCTCACGGTCCCGCCACTTTCGCAGTCGTGTATGGTGAGAATGACAGACAGGGCCTTTTCTGTGGTGGCTCCTCAGCCATGGAACTCTCTCCTGAATGAAATTAGATCTGCCCCCTCCCTCCTGACCTTTAGGAAGCTGGCTGTGGAACGAGGTATTTGCGGAATGATGGCTGAGACCGGTAATTGAACAAAGTTATCGACCACAATATGCGGACTGAGTTGGACATGATTTTATCTTGGCGAATGGATTATATGTATTTTATACTCTATGTATTTTTTAAATTCATTGTTGATGTATGATGTTTTAGATTTTAATTGTTAGCATTGAATTCTTAGCGGCTGAGGGGGAAAAAGAATGAGCCTGAGGCTGTTAGGAATGATGGGAGTTGAAGTCCAAAACACCTCCTGGAGAGAGGGCCCAAGTAGGCCCTCTCTCTATTAGGACACTCTATTATTATTATTATTATTATTATTATTGTATTGTCGAAGGCTTTCATGGCTGGAATCACTAGGTTCTTGTTTCTGCTTTTTGGCAGAGGGTTGAACTGGACCTCACTACCTCTGAGGATGCTTGCCATAGATGCAGGCAAAACGTCAGGAGAGAATGCCTCTAGAACATGGCTCTATAGCCCAAAAAAACCCACAAGAACCCAGTAATTATTATTATTGTTTTCAGAAGAGAGAGAGATTGTCTTATTCTTTTTCTATCCTAACTTATATCAACTTCCCCTCAAAGGAAAGGCCTCCCCATCTTTTTGAAGACAGTCCCTGAGCCTTGGAGAGGGCTCCCTTCCTCTTGAAGGCCTAAAGAAGCCTGGGAGGCGGCAGCGCAAGGGTTAACCTCTCCTCCTCCTCCTCCTCCTCCTCCTCCCCCCTCCCTCCCAGATTCCCGAAAGGAAGAGGCGGGGGAGGAGAAGAGAAGCCAGAGGAGAAGGAGGGGGCGCTGTTGCCTAGGCGACGGCTCGGAGTGGCCCGGGCTGTACCACTGCGCAAGGCCCGCGGGGGGAGAGCGGCGCATTCGAGGCCTCGTCTGCTAAAGAGAGGCGCAGGCCCGGCCTGGCTGCCTCCCCCGCTCCCTCGTAGGCCTTGCCTTCTCCCGCCCGCCCGCCCGCCCGCCCGGCAGCCAGAAAGGACGAGCGAGAGAAGGAAGGAAGGAAGAGAGAGAGGAAGGAAGGAGCGTCGAGGCGCCTGCTGGGCCTAGACGGGAAGGAGGCGGATCCACAGCGGCGGGATCTCGGCGACGGCGCTTGGCAGGCCCTCCTCCTCCTCCCTCTCTCTCTCTGTCTTCGGGAAGGGAGACAAAGGCCTCGCGATGCCGCGGCTGAGGGAGAGGCGAGGCGGCGCGGCCTGGCGCGGGTAATCGAGGCCTGGTCTTGGCGCAGAGCAAGGCCGCGGCGCCGGCTTTTCCTTGTTTTCCTTTTTTTCTTTTTGAGAAACTGCAAGTCGCTTCTGGTGTGAGAGAATTGGCCGCCTGCAAGGACGTTACCCAAGGGATTTGATGCTTTTATCCTCCTTGTGGGAGGCTTCTCTCATATCCCCGCATGAGGAGCTGGAGCTGATAGAGGGAGCTCACCCACCTCTCCCCGGATTTGAACCTGCGACCTGACAGTCTTCAGTCCTGCCGGCACAGGGGTTGAACCCACTGCGCCACCGTGGGCTCCTGCTTCTCTCATATCCCCGCATGAGGAGCTGGAGCTGAGAGAGGGAGCTCATCCGCCTCTCCCCGGATTTGAACCTGCAACCTGTCGTCTTCAGGCCTGCCGGCACAGGGGTTGAACCCACTGCGCCACCAGGGGCTCCTGCTTCTCTCATATCCCCGCATGAGGGGCTGGAGCTGATAAAGGGAGCTCACCCGCCTCTCCCCGGATTTGAACCTGCAACCTGTCGTCTTCAGTCCTGCCAGCACAGGGGTTTAACCCACTGCGCCACCGGGGGCTCCTGCTTCTCTCATATCCCCGCATGAGAAGTTGGAGCTGATAGAGGGAGCTCATCCGCCTCTCCCCGGATTTGAACCTGCTACCTGACAGTCTTCAATCCTGTCAGCACAGGGGTTGAACCCACTCCGGCAGAGCCAGAGCGTGAGGATGTGAGGCCTGGGCCCAAGCGGAAGCCCAAGCGGAAGCGGCTCCTGCTCTTCCTCCCGGGCCGGGGATGGAGGCGCACGTCGCGTGCCTGTTCCCGGAGCTGCTGGCCATGATCTTCAGCTACCTGGAGGTGCGCGACAAGGGCCGGGCGGCGCAGGTGTGCGTGGCCTGGCGGGACGCGGCCTACCACCGCTCGGTGTGGCGCGGCGTGGAAGCCAAGCTGCACCTGCGGCGGGCCAACCCCTCGCTCTTCCCCAGCCTGGCGGCGCGCGGCATCCGGCGGGTCCAGATCCTCTCCCTGCGCCGCTCGCTCAGCTACGTGATCCAAGGCATGGCCGAGATCGAGAGCCTCAACCTCAGCGGGTGCTACAACCTCACCGACAACGGGCTCGGGCACGCCTTCGTGGCGGAGATCGGCTCGCTGCGGGCGCTCAACCTCAGCCTCTGCAAGCAGATCACCGACAGCAGCTTGGGCCGCATCGCGCAGTACCTGAAGGGCCTGGAGTCACTAGAGCTCGGCGGGTGCAGCAACATCACCAACACGGGCCTACTACTAGTGGCCTGGGGCCTTCCGCGACTCAAGAGCCTCAACCTACGCTCCTGCCGGCACCTCTCGGACGTGGGCATCGGGCACCTCGCTGGCATGACGCGCTCCGCCGCTGAGGGCTGCTTAGGCCTGGAGCAGCTCACCTTGCAGGACTGCCAGAAACTTAGCGACCTCTCGCTCAAGCACCTGGCCCGCGGCTTGGCGCGCCTGCGCCAGCTCAACCTCAGCTTCTGCGGCGGGATCTCGGACGCCGGGCTGCTGCACCTGTCGCACATGAGCAGCCTGCGCGTGCTCAACCTGCGCTCTTGCGACAACATCAGCGACACGGGCATCATGCACCTGGCCATGGGCAGCCTGCGCCTCTCCGGCCTGGACGTCTCCTTCTGCGACAAGGTGGGCGACCAGAGCCTGGCCTACATCGCCCAGGGCCTGGACGGCCTGCGCTCGCTCTCGCTCTGCTCCTGCCACATCAGCGACGAGGGCATCAACCGCATGGTGCGGCAGATGCACGGCCTGCGCACCCTCAACATCGGCCAGTGCGTCCGCATCACCGACAAGGGCCTGGAGCTCATCGCCGAGCACCTCGGCCAGCTCACCGGCATCGACCTCTACGGCTGTACCCGCATCACCAAGCGGGGCCTGGAGCGCATCACGCAGCTGCCCTGCCTCAAGGTGCTCAACCTGGGACTCTGGCAAATGACGGAGAGCGAGAAGGTCAGGTGAGAGGAGGGGAGAGGTGGAGGCCCCGTCCCACCCCTCCGAAGGGACCTGCCAAGCGGGCTGCTGCAGCAGAAGGAAGGAAGAGCCAGATCAAGGAAGGAGGAGGTGCCTCCAGATACTAAAACTTGGGCATGAGCAAACTCTGGCCCTGCAGGTGTTTAGGACTTCAACTCCCACCATTCCTAACAGCCTCAGGCCCTTTCCTTTTCCCTCTCAGCCGCTTAAGCGGCGAGGAAAAGGAAAGGAAAGGGCCTGAGGCTGTTAGGAATGGTGGGAGTTGAAGTCCAAAACACCTGGAGGAAGCAGCTGAGGGGGGAAAGGAAAGGTCATGAGGCTGTTAGGAGTCCAAAACACCTGGAGGGCCCAAGTTTTCCCAGGACAAGGGGGACAGAGGGAAGGGAGAACATCCCCAATGCTTGGCTTTCTTCTCCCAGCAGTGGAGGGAGAAGGAAGGGGAGGCCCACTCCCTCCTTTGCACTGGAGGGAGGCGACTGCACTCTTGCTCAGCCTTCACTGTGGATGGATACAGTCTCGCTGTCCTTATGCTTTCTGTTGGGAATGCAGCTTCTCAATCTTATGCACTGGGGATGGATACACGACCCCTTTCTTCAAGTCCTGATTCCACCCCCTTCTGCACTAGGGATGGAAGGAGAAGAAAACAAACAAAAAAACTAGCCCGCTCTTACTATCTCTCACACACACATGCAGTCTCTTTTTTACCCCCTTTCTCAAGCAAAGTTTTGATTCCTAGGCCCCTTCCACACAGCTGAAGAAAATCCCACATTTACTTTGGGCAGTGGACTCAGTTCAAAGCAAATATTGTGTGATTTTCTCTCTTGATATTCTGGGTTATAGTGCTGTGTGGAAAGGCCCCTAGTCCTTTTCCCATTCTGCTTGTCGTCTAGTTCCCCATAATTGCTAGTCAGCCATCCTTTTCTTTGCATAGCATGTAGATATGGGAATATAGGAAGTGGCAGCCTACAAAGTCAAACCATTGGCCCTTCTACATGGAGTGGCACGAGACGAGCTCCCACCCTGTCTTCCTACCTCTCTTCTGGCCCAGAATATCCCACCATCTGTCCAGGACCTTCCCTCTTCCTGTGCTTGCAGCTGAGCAGGTAGTTTTTCTTTAACAGCAATGTCAACTCTGAGTGCACTCATCCTGCTCACTGCTGCTTGGGGAGAGGGTTCCTTAAATCATAGTATTTCTCTTTAGACTAGTGGTTCTCAAGATGTGGATCCCCAAGTGTTTTGGCCTACAACTCCCAGAAATCCCAGCCAGTTTACCAGCTGTTAAAATGTCTTGGAGTTGAAGGCCAAAACATCTGGGGACCCACAGGTTGAGAACTATTCCTTTAGACCAGTGGTTCTCAACCTGTGGGTCCCCAGGTGTTTTGGCCTACAACTCCCAGAAATCCCAGCCAGTTTACCAACAGTTCGGATTTCTCAGAGTTGAAGACCAAAACATCTGGGGACCCACAGGTTGAGAACCATTCCTTTAGACCCATTTTACACTATATCCATCTAACTTCATGACTCATTTTCCTTTGTTGCCAAACCCCCATAGAGGTTGAAGTCACTTTGTTGACATTTTGTCATCCCAACCACTTCTGCGTCTTCCTCTTTTGTAGCATGTGATTTCAAAACAACATATCTATCCACACATTTTTTTCCATTTGGAGGACTGGGGCATAGGAACAATGGAACTGAATGCCACTTGTACTCCACAAGAAATGCTGTAACTGGCTTTTATTTAGCAAAATGCCTGACAGACAATAACATTTGCAATGCTCCCTTCAACTTCCCCTTTCTTAAAGTCTTGTAATGGTTCTCTTCCTTCTTATCCATTCACCTCTCTTCAGTATTCATCTTTGTGTATGCGGTATGTTTTTGAAAGATCTTTGAAGTGGATGTTCTTGTGGATTTTTAAGTACACTTTTTCTGTTAAATATATTTTCTCTACATAAATGTTTGGCTACCTCGGGTTTTTCTCTTTTTCTTTGTTATTGTTCAGCCCTTAGTCCCCTATCTCCCCCCTCCCCGGCCCATTTTTACAAGAAAGAGAAGAGACTGACATATTTTTGTGCCTAGACTGGAAAGATATCCCTTAGGTTTCTAATTGGGAGAGGGGCAGGGAGAAGAAAGGCTGGCTGGAGTTTCTTTCCCTGTGTCCCACGTAAACGATGTTATCTTGTGCCTCTTCCCCTTCTGACTAAGGTTCTGCAGTGCTCTTGCATTTCTTCTCTTCTAGCACAAACTTAGCATCCAAACTGGTGACCGAGTAGTGGTTAAAAGAAATGTGAAGTAGAAGCTCTGTTTCTTTAAATATATGCAAATTCCCACCTCCCCTTCTCTCAAATGGCCTAGGTCAAGTAAGGAGCTTCCTGCGTGGAAGCAGAAAGAGGAGCAAGCAAAACAGACTGCCTTGCGGTTGTAACATGATGAACAGGAAAAAAATCAACTTGAACAGGAAAAAAATCAACTTTGTGTGTTTTTCTTCTGTTGTTAAAATAAAGCCACTTCTTGACCACTTGTCTTTTAAAAAAAAGGAAGAATAAGACAGCTCAGAAGATGGCAAAAGTGATCTGGGGGAGGGAAGAAGAAGAAGGGGCAGCTGTGCAGATTTTCCAGTCCTCCACAGTCACAGGTCCTGGAACTCAAGACAAGCCCAGACCCACAAGCTCATCATGGAATAAATGTACTGTTTGTGAATTTGTATAAAATGAAAAGATCCTCTTAAAACATTTTATATTCTTACAGTAAAAGGTTAAACTGATATTTATATAATAAAAGAGGAAATATGAAGTATGTTTTTGAAAAAAAAGTTGCACCTGTTTTATTTTTGTCTAATCTTAATTATATTTAATCTGAAGTGGTGGGTTGCCGTATTCCTTCTCTGTCAACGACCAGTTTGATCCAACAAATCAAAACAATTTCAGGGCAGAAAGCTAAACAATTTCAAAATAAAAAGTTGCCAGGTTCCATTTAGAAAGATCAGTAAGAAATCATAGATTCTCCTACCTTGTGTGCCATTGGTGACTGAACCGGATCAGTAAAACCTATTGGTGCGTGCATAGGACCACTACTTTGACAAGAGTTTTTAAAAGAATGATTTTACAGAGACTTTTATGATCTGAAAGTGTTAAAAGTTCGGTATGCAGTTTTTGAGTTAACACATAAGAAAGATAAGTGCCTGGAAATTACATTTACAATTTCACTTGTATTTAGAACTTAAATTATAAAAATGATTTTTTTGGGCACCCAGAAAATTATTAGAGACTGAGCTGGGGAAAGGATGAAAACTATGTATGCCTTCCAGGGTTTTAGATAAATGTGAAAGTCAGACCTGGATGTCAAAAACTGTCTAAACTAGACGGTCAGATAAGTTTTTTCTTTTCATCTTTGACTTTTGCCCTGACAGTGATCTTTCTAAAAACTTCTTTATTTTTTTCCGGGGGGGGGGGGTGTCCAGCAGGCACATCAAAGGGGCCGGTCAAGGGCCTATATAGTCATGCAGCATGGATTCTTTTCCCTTTTGATTAAGGGGGGGGGGGGGAAGCAGCAGGGAGAATGTGAAATGGTGGAAGGAGCTGAAGCCATTGTTCAGGAAAGTTAAAAGAGGAGCTGTCCTTGCTTGCTTGCTTGCTTGTTCAGTCATGCATACTGAATCTTTCTGTGTCAGGGTCCCTATGGAAGGGAGGAGGGGTGTTTCGTTCCCTCTTTTTAACATTCCTCTCCAGGCCTGGCTGTATTTAAGCTGCTTTTCCTCCATGTGGAGGGCGGGCAAAGGGGGGATGGTCTGGAGTTTCTGTGCATTTGCATTTCAAGCACTTCCAGGGCTGCAGAAAGGCTACTCTTTGCCATTCAAAAGGTTCTTGGAACTAGTCTTTGGAAGTGCCCCAGGTAAACTATCTCCAACAAACTCACAATAAAAAAGCAGTGTTTCTCCAGCTATACTTTCATTGAACTTCCGTTCCCCCTTCAGTACCTAAAAGTAATGGCTCTGCACCCCCTTGTTCTAACATAAGAAGAGTTATTCTCCTTAAGAGACTGGAGTTGAGTGAGGAGGAAACTACCACTACTGGTTTCCTCTTCAGATTAAGGTTTTACTGGACCTGCACTGTGTCCTCAAGAGGAAACCAGCACCTAAGCTGTTATTGCTGCTTTTATTTAAAACCTTTCATGCTTTCTGCTGGAAGCTGGATACAAAAGCTGCATTGTTCTCATTGGCAAAAGCCAGTACAATTGGATCTAATTGAGCCTGACACTACATCCATCTTCTTTTACTTGGAGGGAGGTGTAAGGTCTGTTTCTATGTCTCCCCCCACCTTGGCCTTTAAAAATTGTAGTCAGTTCATGGGTGAAGAGATTATGAACCCTAGTAAAACAAGAGTGCTTGACAAAGTTAATAGTAGACAATAAAGTGGCAAGTTTTGTTGTGAGTGCCAACCAGGAATGGACTCTATTCAACCATATGATATAAACATAATGTAAACAATATTAATATTTTTTCATTGCTCTTGTACAGTGCTCTTTATATCTTGATTGGTTCCATGGATACTTTTTGAAAAGAAAAATATGCAGGAACTGAAGCTTTCTTGATATTTGATATTAGAGTATTAAGAAGCACCACCCACAGTGCCTTTAATCCATCACCGCCACATAAGAGTTTAAAATTATCTTTTTAATACTGTAGAATATACCCCTATAGATCACAATTCGCACCAATAATTCTGACTTGAACCATACCTGTTACCAGTGAAAGAGTGGATTTATACAACCCAATAATGTATGCCTAAGTAGCATTTTGAATCTGAATCTTACAATCTTAAAGACGTGATTTCTGGTCACCAAAGAGCCACAATATTTTTCTGAGTAGCTGAAGTCAAACCCATTTATTCTAGAAACTAGGTTGGGGCATGTGTCACCTGTCAATTTACAAGGACCCTATGAATTTCATTGGGTTTTCTTAGGGAAGGGGTACTCCGTGTATATTAATTCCTAACTCACACAATGAGCCCCTGCACATCAGTACTCTCTCCCTTTTGGTCATACATAACATACTTTCCACACTGAGGAGCTACTAGCTCTTTCTGATTCCATCTTGGTTAGCTCTTGAACCAGTCAAGAAGCCATTCCTTCCTCTCACGAAAATCAATGTTCCACATTTCTAAAGGGTCCTGAATAAATATGTAACCA